ACCATGTTCAGAGACGGACCCGGGGGGGGGGGGGGGGGGGGGGGGGGGGGGGGGGGGGGGAAAAAGGCCAAAAAAAAAAAAAAGATTTTAAGGTATTTTTTTTAGTTATTTTGTTTGTAAAAATAAATATCGCGTTGTAGTCCGATCTTAAATTCAATCCTGAATCCGATCCTAACCATGTTTGTAGAATACACCAAATAGGTGAACAAATTGATTTGGTTCAATAATCTTAAAAAATGATTTTTGTGTAAAATTGTTTTGCAAATGATTTGGTCCTCTATACAAGTCTTTAATGGCTGGCTATAAAAGTTTTGGTGCGCTTTAAATATTACGAAATGTTTTTTCTTAAAACTTTTTAATTTAAAAGTTTTTCTTGCATTTAATGAGGGTAGGTAATCATTTATTAGTACAAACTAATGTTTTTATCTTTTTCTACAATTTTTAATATATTTTATCAAGAAACTCTAATACCGAGTGATAGAATGCTAAGTGATTTGCAACTTGATCTTTAAAGTGGAGTTATCTCTATGTTAATCTATTATGAATTATATGTGACGTGCTAAAACAGTTAATCTACCAACTTTTCTAATTTCTACACAAATATTAATAAATTCATAAAAACGTTGTATTCAACAATAAATCAGTGTAGTATAAGTATATTTATCTAATGGAATAACTTAATAAAAGCATTTTAAAACAATTTAGTCATAATGGCTTTCTAGGGTACTTTACTATTTGTCACATTAATATATTTATTATTTTATTAAATTCTCTATATTTTGGACTCTCTTAATTTTTTTTCTTGACTTTTAAAAAGGCTTAAGACTATAAAAAAAGAAAAAAGAAAAAAGTTTCATCATATTTAAAAAGTCTACAACAAACTCCCTGTACTGGGAAACAAACCTAGTAAACTCAAATGATAAAAAAAAATTTAGTAGGCCTCTGGTGTATATAGATCTGAACCAAAAGAATAATTCAATTTCTTTATTTGTTCTATACAATATTTTTTTTTTAATTTAACAGTTACAAATTTTTAAGTGTTACTAATAGTTGTTCGTTTTATTCTAGGTGTTGATTATATCTCATTTATAAATCTTCGTCGATAGGAGGAGATCAATGAAAATTGAGTTTTTAATTATTTTTTAACTATTATTTTCTTTATTAAATAATTTCGAATTCAAATGTGATTAAGAGTTTTAATTTTTGTTATTATCTAGGTGTTGTTGAAATTTTGTATCGAAAATTGGTTGTGACCAGTTTTACATGATTATTTAAGTGGAATTCGTTATTTGATGAATGAGAAATTAAGTCAAATGTAAGCCGCTTAATACTTAAAATTGTTGAAAATTTGTATAGAATATTGTAAAATATTCTAGAAATATATGGATGTGTCTTTTCATATGAAGGATTATGACTCTTGATATGGGCATGATTAATTTTCAATAATAATGTCTTTTAATGAGATATGTCTCTTGGTATGATTATGTCTTTTGACATACCTTTCCAACCACTATATATTGACTCCATATATTTGTATTTAATAATTCAGAAATTCAAGTCAATAGATAATTCCATATTATTCCATTACATGTTTACAGTTTAATTTGCATCAAACTCAGGGTTATGATAAAGAGGGAATTATAAAAAAAAGTCTTAAAAAAGCCCAATTAAATATAGCCACTCAGGAATAGAATATAATCATTCAAAATTATAAATAAATATAAAGTTAGAGATGAGTGTTCGGTAAGTTGATATTATTTGTAGGTCTCACGAAATATATGGAGAAAAAAATAAGTTTAATCAATTATGTTTGTAAAATAAATATGTGCTAAAAAAGTGTGGATAGTGAACACTCTCTTTATTTCACTTGAATGACAACGACAAAATAATTTTGAATTTGTTTTCCATGATTTTTATCCCTATATGAGGTTGGAAAATCTAATTTAAGACCAAAAATAGGCCAAGAGCAGCACACTAACTTAAAAAAAAATTTAGCCATTATTTTGGGTTAAGGGGAAAAGTTAATTGAAAAAGAAAGGAAATAAAGAGAAGGGAAGAATAAGGAAACAATATCAAGAATGTTTCTAGTTATTCTAATTAATGAAAGTCCGGAAAAAATTGCGACATAAAAAGGTTGAGGACATGTAGGAAATTTTGTTTTAAAGATTGGGGCAAAATGTACAAAAAAAATTCTCTACTACTTATAAGAAAACTTTTTAAGCTTAGCCAAACATGTCATGTTTGGGAGTTGTTTATAAATGGTTTAAATTATAAATAGATAAAATTAGTGGTGAATGATTGAGTAATACAGCGAACCAGCGAAATTATGTGTATAAAAATTGATTTCTTATGCCAAAATATCAAACAGTTACGACTTTCAGTTAGATCCTACAACTTGACATATAGATACATATATTCAATTAATAAATAGATCTCAAACTCTGTCACGATTTAACTAAAATATTTTATAAAGTTTAGTGGCTAAAGTGTGGCCATTGAGAGCAAATTTTAGTGATCATTACTAAAATTAACCCTTCCAACGACTGTGCTATCCTTCTACATAGTGCGACGACACAGGAAATAAGCACTAAAGTATTCGACAAGAATAAACCTCTCCTCAGTTCATGATTGAAGAGGAACTTTCGTTATATGCCGAAACGTAGAATATGTTAGATATTTTTCATCATTTTGCATGTATTTATTTCTGTTTTACAAATGATTTGTCGCCCCGATTAGTGTTTGCCGCTCCGCAATGCTAGATGTATGCAAGGATTTCAAGGGATACACTTATTTAAACAGTTGCTTCAATTTCTATAAATTCTGGGCGAATTCTCGTTTGCAAAACACATTAAAAATTTTATTCTTCTTTCTTTCTCTTGGCATCAATAAGTTATTTTCGAATGTTTTCTTGGTTTGATCAAATAGTCACAATTTGAATCAAACATCTCTATTGTATCCTAAAAGAGATTTTCTATCATACCCCAGTTGTAACTTTGTTGGATAGGGAAGAAATATCTCTTAAAAAATAACGTTTTTTCGTGCCTTAGAGTTCATTTAGTATTCAGATTTCCCTACATTTGGTATCATGTGCTTAGGATGCCGAGGTATAAACGCATGGTGAGGATATGGAGCCTATGTAGACGATAATTATTTTAGCATGTAACATCAGCTCTACACTAGCTGTTTCCTCCGAAACAGAGCCGGTCCTGTGAATGATGGGCCCTGAGGCGAGCGATGAAAAATAGGCCCCCCAACGACAAAATTCAAAGGTGTATTATGCGACTCATTATTAACTTAAAAAACTAACATTAAAACAACAACGAAATATATCATAAAAACGATTTATATTATAAACCATCAAACCAAAAATTTCCAACTATAGGCAATGTCTCAAGTGGACGACAATGCTCAACTGTCTAACCATTGGTCATGAACGGCAATAGAAACCATTACCAACTATCCCAGTTTCTGGTAACCAACCTTCTGCTCTCATGACTTATCATCGATCAAGTCTTTGACACTTTTGACCAGTTAAGCCTAAACTCAACAAACTTTAACTTTGATATTGCTGCAATATTTTCCCCAACGGATGCTGCCTTCACCTCTTATATTGAATCTAGATATGCTATTTATATTGAAGCTGTATTTAATTTCTACTAAGACTAAGATTTTTAGCAAACTCATACCCCTATCAGATCAATCTTTAAAAGCTGTTCTTGTATTGAGGAAGGGGGAAGAGTAAAAGAACTAGAAATTAACAGAAGGATTTTCAAATTTCTAGTCGAAGTTGAACTTAAAACCTTATAATAGAGAATGATCTATATTGATGCAGCTCATGGAAAGAAGTGATTAATGATGAGTATGAGTAAAATTATACAAAAATAAGTGCTATTTAAGTGAGTTAGAAGTATACCAATACATTAATGCCAGAGGGTGTTTAACAACAAGCAAGAGCATAAGAAAATTACACAGCTACTATTTAGATTATCTTTCAACAAATGAAATGTTCAATAATCTTTTCACTTGTTGATTGGGATAAATAAATAAATAAATAAATAAATAAATAAATATATATATATATGGAACAACAAAGAGATTTCAAGGCAAATGGAATTTATTTGAAAAAATATACCTATAATCGCCATTTTATACCTAAATAAACAGTTGGGTCCAAGTAAATAGAACATATTCATACAAATTATAAAAGAACAATAGGAAGCTAACAAAATCTGAGGACCCTAAACTCTCAACGTCACTTTCCCAAGTAAGCAAAACCCCACCACTTCATTTTTACTTTTTTTTCAAGATAAAAACTTCTTCATTTTAATATACCCTTTAGAAACCAGTAAACCACAAGGGGCTTCTTACATATACCCATTTTAGTATACCCTTAGTGCGGTAGATTCTTACACAGTTACACTCAATAATCAATTCATGTAACATTTTCGAGAAGGGTATTGTTTGATTTAAGTAGAGACCATACCCGCATGGGCCGCATCAGTTAACTAAAGGCAGTGCTGTAGTCGCTAAGTAGCACCGGAGGTCCGGAGCTCGTCGACGTCGAGCGGTCGAGATGCGAGAAGAACAGCAGCAGCCCTAGCCCCTAAATCGTATTATTCATTTTTCAGATTTTGGGAATTTAGAAAATTTGGGTAAATGGATTGGGTTGTGATATTGGATTTGGATATATGAGTTGGGTTGGAATTTTAGGGTAAATGAATTGTGGATTGGTGGATAATTAGTTTTGGGCTACTTATATTGTTTATTAAAAATTTTTTTTTTTTTAAATTTGGGCTAAAAATAGGCCCCTTAATGATCTTGGGCCTGAGGCGCGGGCCTCACTGGCCTCGCCCCAGAACCGGGCCTGCTCCGAAACACACAGTATATCCATTAAAAACCCCCAGCTGCAACAGCATTGCAGATTATAGACTGCTAAAACTGATCTATTATGAAGCAGTGAAGTGATAGTTTTTGACATGAACAATAGTACAACACATAAATAGACATGGAAATCATCCCAAGGCAGTCTTGGTTTATTCTCAAAGACTTGAAAATACATAACTCAAACGTGTATTTTAAGATAAGAGCCAGTCTTGGTCTATTCTCAGAGACTTGAAAATCAAGGATAAAGCTCAATGAGAGACCTCAATCCTAAATCATATGCAATCTTGTAGCCACTATAGCCAGCATCAAGGAAAAGTTTCTCCCACTCTTTCTCAGTTCTTTCTTTTCCATTGAGAAAAACCATCATCGCTAGATCGTTGAAAATCTGCGTTTCGGTGTGTTGATGGTCCTCTTTGTTGTTTCCTACGATCATATCTATAATGATCACTTTCCCTCCATTCTCCTTTCTTGGGATTGCTTCTTTGCATTTCTTCAATATTTGCACACACTCTTCGTCACTCCAGTCGTGCAATATCCACTGTTTTTTGTCATGTGAAAAAGTTGTTGTTAGCATGTATCCAATGAGAAAAGGTTGTTATTTATGGGGAAAAAAAATTAAAAATCCATACCTTGAGCATAATTGCATCTGCTTGAGGAATGGATTCAAACATGTTTCCCTTGATGTAGGTCAAGTTCTTATAACTACCTTCCAAGCCTTCAACGATGTGTGGAAGATCAAACACAGCACACCGCAAGTGCGGGAAAGCATCTGCAATAGCTTTGGCCATAAATCCTGTGTTTCCTCCAACATCCACCATAGAATTTATCTTATCAAAGACATTTTTGCAATCTCTAATAATTATTCTACTCAACATATCTGTGTCGTCGCACAAGTCTTCATTTAAAGATTGACTGAACTTTGGGTCGCGACAAGCATAGTCCCATAATGTGCATCCATGGGCTATCTTGAATGCAGAGTGGTCGTCATTTTGCAACCATTCAGTAATATGATTCCATGGCTTCACGTAAATAGGATTCAAACAGGACTGTAAAAATGGTATCATACTCAAGGCCTGGTCTTTGATGAGGAGTTGAGAAGCCGGTGTAAGCCAATACCCCATATTTGTATCATCCTCGGAAACCTTTTTCTCGATGAAGAACCCAGAATGAACTAGAAACCTCATCAGACGATACACACCCTGAACTTTTGCTTTATTGATGGGGAGTGCATCGCCTAGCTGTTGGAGGGTCATTGGTTTACCATGTTTGTGGATGATATCTGGTATGCCTAGTTCAGTTACACATTTGAGAGAGGCCATGTATGGGAAGGTGAATATGTGGTTCCAAAATTTAGCTTGAGCTTTCAGAAGCTCAGCCGTGAAATTTTACAATTACTGATAAGTTATATGCATTAGCATTGAGTTATATATAGGAAACAATCATATAAATGAATATTTTATGACATGTTTGGCAAAGCTTAAAAACTTTCTTATTAGTAAAACAAATGATTTTTTAGAATTTTTTAGGGCTACTGTGCTCTATTTTTGGTCTTAAATTAGATTATCCAACCTCATATAGGGATAAAAAATCATGGAAAATAAATTCAAAATGATTTTGTCGTTGTCATTCGAGTGAAATATATAAAGTGTTTACTATTCATACTTTTTCAGCACATATTTATTTTACAAACGCAACTGATTAAACTTACTTTTTTTCCATATATTTCGTGAGACCAACAAGTACTATCAATTGGCCCATCACTCATCTCTAATTCTTTATTTGTTTACAACTTTGAATGATTATATTCAATTCTTGAATGCACTTAGTGGCCATATTTAATTGGGACTTTTAAGACCTTTTTTAAGTGATAGACAATCTTTGGAATTTCTAAACTTTTATATATTTATATGGAGTTAATGAAAGTCTTTCACAGACTTCTTTAGATCTTTACCTTAAAACTTTCATAGAATTTGTTTGACTTCTGAAGACTTTGATGCAAATTAGAATTTCCATTCCTAACAAACAAATAATCAAAGACGAAATGAAAATGAGAAAGGATTTAAATAGGTTAAATAGAAAATTATGAAAGTTACGAAGAAATTAATGTATCAAATGAAGATAATGAAAAAGATGAAAGTCAAGATGATGAAAAAAGAAATTGGATATATAGATATGAATTATTATTGGAATCTTAGAAAGTCTAGAGAATTAGAAATCAAAGCCTTTTTAGAAGAAGATCAAAATGATGTAGAAATTAAGATAAAAAAAAAAAAAAAAAGTTATAAAGGTCCTAATTCAGAAACAGACCAAGAATTGTGTGCACGTACACAAAATGTCGAAACAAATGTTACTTGAATAAAAAAATTGGAAGTTTGGAACCATCCTTCCGTAAACTATAGCTCAATGACATAAAATAACAAAGGAACAACTATTCATATGGGTTGTAAAATCACAAAAAACACATAGATTAACAAAGAATACCATGATTAGGAATCAAATATTCGTTGATTCTTCATAAAGAGTAATGAATTCTTGATCTTAACTGCAAAATCATTGATTCTAATGAATATCAATCTACGACCTATAAATTGGAGAAAATCTCAACAATTTGTATTTTATTTAAATTCAAAAATAACCACCTTGCCATTAAGGCTACCACCTTATTTAAAAAAAAAAAAAAAAAAAATTAATTACGTCTACTACTAAATGATTAACTCTAAAAAATTACTAATTCTAATTGGCAATTAACACGTTGATAATAGTAAAAGTTAAAACTTCTAACGAACATTGAATTCGAAATTATTTAATAAAGAAAATACTATTTAAAAAAATAATTAAAAACTCAATTTTCATTGATCTTCTCCTATTGATGAAGATTTATAAATGACAGAGAATCAGAACATAGAATAAAACGAACAATTTTACACAAATATCATTATTTAGATCGTTGAACTAAATCAATGTGTTCACCTATTTGGTGTATTCAACGAATATGGTTATTGTGAATAGATCTTATTAAATCATTATTATGTGAAAGCAACTGGACGATAGTGGTGCATTCCGGGTTGAAAAATGGGAAAAACAGAATTCATACAAGCGTACAAGGGAAAAAAGGCAAAAATTAACTTTTTTGAATTTCCGTGTTGAAGTAAATTGTCCAAAATGTCAAAAAAACTATATAAATGATTAATTATGTGATTTCATGTTGCCCCTCATGGGGTGGCCGAATTGACGGAATAGGTAAGCGCGGAGACCTTTGATCAAGAGTTCGATTCCCTCTATCAACACTTTTCTCGATCAAGTCTATCGCACCAGACTTGTCTAGTACAGTTTATCTTGCTGCACGTGATTTGCAGGCTATTGCGTCAGCCCGATGGTGTACTTATTGCGCACTCAAATGATAGTGACGGTGTGTTTCCTGTCATAAATAATAATAATAATAATAATAATAATAATAATAATCTTTTATGGGTTTAGGCACGTCTTTTAATGGATGTTGGGATACGTTCTAGACAATGTTACTTGGGAAATTATAAAATATGTAGGGACATTTTTTAAATACAGTAATGAAAATTATATAAATTAGTCATGGTGACAATGTTAGGGTCCATGAAATTTAATTATCAGTCTTTTACTATACTCAAAAAAAAAGGTTGAACCCCAACTTTAGGGGCCCCTATCGATCCTGCCTTGAGCCATTGTGGAGGAGGTAAATCACAGGATGTGCCTCCCAGGAGCCAGAGTGGAGAGCACATGAATAGGTCAAGACTATTAACCCATATGATAACTCCCGCTTGCAACAAAGCGAATTCCACCTTGCGGGGAATCGAACTCTGCACACTGCCGCGCTGAGTCATATTCACCCTCCCCTTTGCCACTGGGAAATATGCCTTGGGGGCAGTCTTTTACTATACTCGCTAATGGGAATAATGGCATAAGTTCTTTATGTAATTTTGGTATTGATATGTTCCTATAGGTTGAGGCTCTATTTGAGAGAAACTTAGGTCTGAGATAGAGTTTTGGGGAAGAAACTTGTAATTGGGATTTTATTTTTGGGTTGGAAGCTATTACATATGGGGCCAGTCAGTCAAATATTACCAACAAATCACCAATGGAAATATCTTTCAGCGTATTTTTATTTTTTTCATTCCAAAATTTACCTACGAAAATGTCCATCGGAAAATATTTTATAATATTTATTTATCTTTATTCAAAATTTATCAATTGAGTACTTAGTGAAAATCACCAAAAATTGGTAGTGGTTGTTTTCGTCAATATATTGTCCAGGGCGGACCCACATGGGGTCATGTGGGGTCAAATGACCCCACAGATTTTTGGATTTTTTATTTTTTATTATTATTTTTTTTTTTTTGCTGAAAATTTAATTTTCTGACTCAAAATGTCCATATCTTATATCTATATCCATATCACTTGATCCATATCCATTATTTAGTCCATAGATATATCGTATAATCCACCAATTTCTTCCCAAAGTGCAAACACCGAACATGAACAACAAACAACCGATTTTTCATTTTTGTTCATGATACGTTATTCGAAAAAAAAAAATTTGACCCCACAGTTCGAACTGCCTGAGTCCGCCCCTGATATTGTCATCTTAATTTAAAATAATTAATGTGAGATATTGTCAAAAATTTGTTGGTAATGAGTCGCTATAGCAAAGGAAATGGACAGTCGATATATCTTTGTAGCTAAAGTCATTGTTTCTAGTAATATCTATCTTTTGACTGTTGGAGTACTGCATCTACATATACAAGTACCCGCACCTCACATGGGGCGGATCCCGCGCATTTATTTGGTGTGGGACCCGACCTACATGTGAGGGGCGGGTAACCCTGAGTGTAAAGCTCCAGGTACAAACGACAAAATCCGTACATATATATCCTTCTGAAATTTGTTCACAATAAAAAATATTGCAAAATCTGAAAATAAGAGAGGGAGAGAAGTGAGAAAGAGAATGATGGCCAATCTCAATGAACATGAGTGTTAACGATTCTCAGACTTCTTCGACAAGTTTTCTTCTTACAATATCTAGAATTTAAATGCTATGTACACGTATAACCCTTGTAATTAGCTGTTGCCGTTACCATTTTTTGGAGTTTTATCTTCTTCTATTCAAACCATTCATATATCTTTATATTCTGTTCAGGTTGTAGGTCATCAGAGAAAAAGCTTCAAAGAGTCGAATATTTAAAAAATGCTTGACAGTTAGATTCGCCACTCTCTAGTTGGATCCTTGCGAGGTAAATAATCGACCACCAAGATGTTTACTCAGGCTCAATTTCTTCCTTCCTTCAACACCACAACCAAACAACCAACCCAAGACAATTCCAAGCTCTCCCACTTACGGAGTAAATATGTAACGACCCAAATTTTAAGGATTTGAAATGTTACTCGATTCATTTATTTTAACAGCGAAAACACATAAAATTCATGAATGCAATTTAATTAATAGCAGGAGCTCATGGCCAAACAAAAAATATTTTCGATAAAAAAAATAAAAAAATCACGCATTTCACAACTATTAACTAAATGATAAAGTATTAATCCCACTAATGTATCTTTCATAGATCAAAAAAAAAAAAAAAACAAAACAAAAAAAAAAAAAAAAAAAAAAAAAAAAAAAAAAAAAAAAAAAAAAAAAAAAAAAAAACTAAATATACCTTAAATCATAAAATAAAATCATTAAAAAACCAAAATAAAATGTTGAAATTAAAATGTTTCACTACATTACGTGGATTTGATTTATAAATTTCAAATATCTTAACACCACAATGCCCGCCAACCGATGACCCGTTAGTAGTGAAAATGGTGAGTACATGAGAATACTCAGTAGGACACGAAACATAATGGTGCGATCCCAGATAAAATATTTAGATCATGCTTAAAAAAAATCATACCGTCATCATATCATTTGAAACCTGTAAAAGCTCATAGTATATTATATCTTTGGTACCGGATAGCCATTTCATATCATATCGTAATCATCATATCATTTCATAACTTTTATAAGTATAATAATTTATCAATATGAAAAAAATATATAATTTAAACGAGACAAAACACTTGTACCTCGTAGTCCTACCTTAATCGATAAAAGGATTGTTGGAAGAAAGTAAGAAGTTTCACGTTCTCAAAATCCTTATTTTTTGCTTGTAATGTTGCTGCCACCTTAACAAGTATTTATGTTTTTCTCTTTTCTTTTACATCTTTAGGATAAATAATGATTACTTTTGTATTGTATTTCAAATTGAAAGGGGAAATTAAATTTTTGATAGACCAAAAATATGCATGATACCGTGATTTCCCCCGCAAAAGTCTCAATCCCAAAAACCAAGAAATCAAGAACCCATTTCCTTTCCTATTCAATCTACGTGTGCCAAACATCCCTTCAAACTCCAAAAATCAAAGCAAGAGAATAATATTAAAATCAAACTAATTGACAACTCTTGTCAATTCCCAAAATCAAGGTAATTAAATATTATGAAAAAAATGCTACTTTATCTCTCCATCAACATCAAATCATTATCTAAAAGATATATTCATTCAAACTATTGCTCGTGTGGATCGAGGTAATTAAATATTTTATAAAACAAAGCTACTTTATCTCTCCATCAACATCAAATCATTATCTACAAAATATATTCATTCAAACTATTGCTTGTGTTGATTGCTTGGAAAATCAATATTAACTTAATTAATTATAAATTTAGGTCATATATTTTTTTGAACTTTAATAATATGAGCATAACTCATTCAAAATAATTATTTCTTGAGCCTAATATACATGATTAATTACAGGCTATCTAACGAGCTCGATATTGATATGCTTATACTTGCTCTATCAAAAATTAATTATTTGACTCAAATATAAGTGTGAATTTAAAACCTATTTCATTTTAGTCATCATTTTTTTAAAAATATAAAAATATAACATATAAAACAAATACATTTTTTTTTTTTGGCAATGCAATCTCTTCACCTTAAATATTTTATCCTCGAAAATTACATTAACTAATCGAATAGTTTTGGATACTTGATTTTAAGCTCATTTTCCTTTTTCCATGTTGACTCGTCCAGTCCGTGATTATGCCATTGTACCTTGATCGGTGTAACTTCTTTGCTCCTGAGTTGATGCACCTTTTTGTCCAAAATCATCATGGGATTTCTTCATATGACAGGTCCTTTTGTACTTCCAAAGTTCAGTAACTTACGACATGATTGGGATCGTGAACATATTTTCTAAGTATTGAGATATCAAACACATTATACACTGCAGCCAGTTCAGGTGGTAAGGTAAGTCGGTAAGCCACAATATCAATCCTTTCAAGTATTTTAAAAAGTCCAATAAATCGTGGTCTCAACTTCACTTTCTTTCCAAACCTTAGCACACTTTTCATTAGTGCTACTTTTAAACAAACTTTATCACCCACTTGAAATTCTAATTCTTTTTCTTCAACCGTCAGCATAACTTTTCTATTAGTCTTGCGCTACCATTATTCTTGCTCTAATCTTATCAACCACCTCGACTATTCGTTCAATAATTTCAGGACCTAAAATTCTATTTTTTCCAAACTCATCCCATTAAATAGGAGATCTGCACTTCCTGCCATAAAGAGTTTCATATTGGGCCGTACCTATAGTGACTTAAAAACTATTATTGTAAGCAAACTTCACTAACGGCAGGTGTGTCTCCCAACTATTGCCAAGATCCAAAACACATGTCTTCAACATATCTTCAAGAGTTTGAATGATTCTTTTCGATTATCCATCCCTCTGTAGATAATAAGCAGTACTAAACTTCAATTTCATCCCACGGCTGCTTGCAAACTTTTTCAAAATTTTGATGTGAACTTCGGATCTCTATCTGAAACAACGATAATAGGAACTTCTTGCAGTCTGACTATCTATTGATATATAATTGTGTGAGCAAAAAATGGGCTGACTTCGTCAAACAATCAACTACTACTCAAATAGCATTGTGACCCCTCGCTGACCTAGGAAAGCTTACCACAAAATTCATCACTATATGTTCCGATTTTCATTTTGGGATATCCAACGACTGATGACCTTTGATGTTCTATCTTGACTTACTGATGAACGATACATTTATCCACGAACAACCCAATTTCTCTCATCGTGTTTCTCCGCCAAAATGTATCTCGAAAATCTCGATACATTTTTTTACTACCTGGATGTGCAGTATACGAGGTAAAATGAGTATCTTCCAATATCTCATTTCTTATACCTTCATCTTTAGGTTCACACAGCCTTCCTTTAAAAGTCAACGCATTATTTGTAGATACTTCAAATTTTATACGTCTGTTTGTACCAACCTCAACTTTCATCTTCTGTAGAAATGGGTCTTTATCCTATGTAGGTTGAATTATAAACGCTCTTATTTTCGCCGTAGTTTGAGTCGACGGAGTGATGACTTCCAATCTCAATTTTTCAAAGTCCTTTATCAAATATTCCTGCACTGTGGGTAAAATAGCTAACTGAGATCATGTCTCCCTGCTTAGGGCATCTGCAACTACGTTAGCCTTACTTGGATGGTAATGGATTGTAAAGTCATAATCTTTCACTAATTCCAACCATCTCCTCCATCTCATATTCAGTTCCTTCCGTGTGAAGAAGTATTTAAGGCTCTTGTGGTCTATATAGATTTCGCATTTCCCACCATAGGGATAATGACGTCATATCTTTAGAGCATAAGCCACAGCTACTAGTTCCAAGTCATGCGTCAGATAATTCTGCTCATACTTTTCAACTGTCTCGAGACATAAGCAATCACTTTTCATGTTGCATCAAAACATAACCCAAGCCCTATTTGGAGACATTACTATAAATTACAAACCCATCTGAACCTTTAGGTATAGTCAAAATAGAAGCAGAGTCTAATTTCTGTTTAAGTTCTTGAAAACACTTCTCACATTTTTTCGTCCACGAAACTTCGCATCTTTTCGAGTCAATTGAGTCATCGGACCTGCTATTTTTGAGAAACCCTCAATAAATCTCCAATAATAACACACCAATCCTAAGAAACTGCGAACTTCACTTGCACTGGACGGGCTAAGCTAATTAGTTACTGCTTCCACTTTAACTTGGTCTACTTCAAGTCCTTGGGTGGTAAACACATGACCAAAAAAACCTATGCGATCGAGCCAAATTCGCACTTCTTGAATTTGGCATATAACTTATCCTTCCTCAAAGTATCAATAATACTCAGAGTTGTTCCTCATGCTACTTCCTATCTTTGGAGTACATAGGTATATCGTAAATAAATACTATGACGAACTAGTCCAAATACTGATGAAACACTCGGTTCATTAGGTCAATAAATATTGTGGGAGCATTGGTCAAATCGAAAGGCATGATAGTGAACTCGTAATACCCGTACGAGTCCTGAAAGCAGTTTTTGGTATATCGCTTGCCTTGATTTTCAACTAATGATACCTTGACCTCAAATCAATCTTCGAAAACATCATTGCACCCCTTAACTGGTCGAGTAAATATTCTACTCTTGGTAGGGAATATCTATTTTGATAGTTAAATGATTCAATTCTCGATAGTCAATGCACATCTTTATATTCTCATCATTCTTCTTCACAAAAAGCACTGGAGCACCCCACGGAGATACACTCGGTTGAATAAAACCTTTTTCCAGCAACTCCTCCTATTGTAACTTCAATTTTTGGAGTTCTTTCCATGTCATTCGGTGCGGAGCCTTAGATACTGGTGCTGCGCAGGGAACTAAGTCAATTGTAAATTCCACCTGCCTATCTTGTGGAATGCCGAGTAGGTCTTCTGGAAATACATCTATAAAATCTCGCACAATGTTAATATCTTTAATAGTTGTTTCAGCATGTTTGGAAACGTTGATATTAACTAAAAATCCCTGACATGACTCCATTTTCAATATCTTATCCGCTTGTATAGCCAATACAAGACGAGGTAGAGATTTGAACTCTGCTCCAAAGAAATGGAACTCTTCCTCTCCCGACGTAATACTTCTCTATCGTGACATCGAATGGTTGCATGATTGAGTCTCAACTAGTCCATGCCTAAAATAAAGTCAAAATCTTTCATCTCCAAAAGGTATGAGTTTGCCTGTAGTATTTTTCCATCAATCTTTTAACTTCATAGCCTTAATCATCTAATTAGTGCAAAGAGTTCTTCCTGAAGGGATGTTAACCTCTAATTCATCATTCGTTTTCACACATACAAGGTTAGACCTAGCGATAAAGGATGCAGAGATAAAAGAATTTGTCGCCTCAAAGTCAAAAAGTACGTAAGTAGGTACATCAGATAATGATAGGATACCTGTTTTCGTAATTATAATATTAGAAATAGCGCCGAAGAATGTAAAATTAAGAACATAAATAGGTATTCTAAATAATATTACAATACCTGCTATCACATTCAGATCTTGTTCCGCCTCATGCTGGTTTAATGCAAAAACTCTGGCCTTCACTTTCTTGTTCTTATCCTGATCATCCTTATTCTTTGGAGGTTCTGTACAGTGTACGACAATGTGTCCCGGCTTACCACATCGAAAGCACATGTTCTTTCACCCCTGTGGAGTTTATTACACTTAGAAGAAGGTGTAATAATCCCATTTGTCTCACCAATACAACTCCATTACACTTTAACCAGTAGAACTTCTCTGTTCCTGAGTTGATGCAACTTTCTGTCAAAAATCATAATTAGGATTTCTTCGTATGACAGGTCCTTTTGTACTTCCAAAGTTAGGTAACTTATGACATGATTGCAATCGTGAACATATTTTCTAAGTATTGAGAAATGAAACACATTATGCACTGCTGCCAGTTCGGCTGGTAAGACAATTCAGTAAGTCACACTACCAATTTTGTCAAGAATTTCAAAAGGTCCAATGAATTGTGGTCTCAACTTCCCTTTCTTTCCAAACTCAGCACACCTTTCATTGGTGCTACTTTTAACAAACTTTATCACCCACTTGATTTCTAATTCTTTTTCTTCTATCGTCAGCATAATTTTTCTGTCAGTCTTACGCTGCTTTTATTCTTGCTCTAATCTTTATCAACCTCCTCGACTGTTCGTTCAATAATTTCAGGACCTAAAATTCTATTTTCCCTGACCTCATCCCAATGAATAGGAAATCTGCACTTTCTACCATAAAAAGCTTCATATGAGGCCATACTTATAGTGGCTTGAAAACTATTATTGTAAGCAAACTCCACTAACAACAGGTGTGTCTTCCAACTACCATCAAGATCCAAAACGCATGCCCTCAACATATCTTCAAGAGTTTGAATGGTTCTTTCAGATTGTCCATCCGTCTGTGGATGATAAGTAGTACTAAACTTCAATTTCGACCTCATGGCTACCTGCAAACTTTTCCATAATTCTGATGTGAATCTCGGGTCTCTATCTAAAACAATGGCGATAGGAACTCCATGCAATCTGACTATCTCTCTGATATATAAATGTACGAACTGTTCCATAATAAAATTTACTCTGATCGGCAGAAAATGAGCTAACTTCGTCAAACGATCAACTACTACCCAAATTGCATTGTGACCCCTTGCTGACCTTGGAAAGCCCACCACAAAATCTATCGCTATATGTTCCCATTTCCATTCTAGAATATCCAACTGGTTCAATAATCTTGATGGCCTTTGATGTTCTGCATTAACTTGCTGACATACAATACATTTCTCTACGAACATTCCAATTTCGCTTTTCATGCTTCTTCACCAAAATGTATCTCGGAGATCTCGATACCTTTTTGTACTACCTAGATGTGCAGCATACGGGGTAGAATGAGCCTCTTCCAATATCTCATTTTTCATACTTTCATCTTTAGGTACACACAACCTTTCTTTAAAAGTCAACGCGTTATTCTCAGATACTTCAAATCCTATACGTTTGTTTGTACCAACCTCAACTTTTATCTTCTATAAAAATGGATCCTTATCATATGCTTCCTTGATTCGATCCCGAAAAGTAGGTTGAATCATAAACGCTCTTATTCTCACTGTAGTCTGAGTCGACGACGTGATGACTTCCAATCTCAGTTTCTCAAAGTCGCTTATCAAGTGTTTATGCACTATGGGTAAAACAGCTAACTGTGATCTTGTCTTCCTGCTTAGGGCATCTGTGACTACATTAGCCTTACCTGGATGGTAATGGATTGTATAGTCTTAATCTTTTACTAATTCCAACCATCTCTTCTACACTATATTCAGTTCTTTCTGTGTGAAGAAATATTTAAGGCTCTTGTGGTTTGTATAGATTTCACATTTTCGACCATAGAGATAATGATGCCATATTTTTAGGGCATGAACCACCACTGCTAATTCCAAGTCAAGCGTCGGATAGTTCTACTCGTATTGTTTCAACTATCTCGAGGCATAGGCAATTAGCTTTCCATGATGCATCAAAATACAACCCAAGCCTTGTTTGGAGGTATCGCAATAAATTACACACACATCCGAACCTTCAGGTATAGTCAAAACAAGAGCCGAGACTAATCTCTGTTTAAGTTCCTGAAAACACTTCTTGTATTTTTTCATCCATTGAAACTACACACCCTTTTGAGTCAACTGAGTTATTGGACCTACTATTTTTTAAGAATCCTCAATAAATTTTAGATAATAGCTGACCAATCCTAAGAAGCTACTAACTTCACTTGTACTGGACGGGCTAGGCCAATTAGTTACTGCTTCCACTTTAACTAGGTCTACTTCAATTCTTTGGGCGGTAACCACATGACCAAGAAAACCTATGCAATCGAGCCAAAATTCACACATATTGAATTTGGCATATAATTTATCGTTCCTCAAAATATCAAGTACTACTCAGAGTTGTTCTTCATGCTGCTTTCTATCTTTGGAGTACATTAGTATATGGTCAATAAATACTATAACGAATTGGTCTAAATACTGATGAAACACTCGATTCATTAGGTCTATAAATATCGTTGGAGCATTGGTTAAATTGAAAGACATGACAGTGAACTCTTAATGCCCATAATGAGTCTTGAAAGCATTTTTTAATATATCGCTTGCCTTGATCTTCAGTTGATGGTATCCCGACTTCAAGTCGATCTTCGAAAACACCGTTGCACCCTTTAACTAGTCGAATAAATCCTCTATTCTTGGCAGAGGGTATCTATTTTTTATAGTTACATGGTTCAAATCTCGATGGTCAATGCACATTCTCATACTCTCATCATTCTTCTTCATGAAAAATAGTAGTACCCTAAGGAGATACACTCGGTCAATTGAAACCTTTTTCCAGCAACTCTTCCAATTGTAACTTCAATTCCTGGAGTTCTTTCGGTGTCATTCGATATGGAGCCTTAGACACTGGTATCACTCCAGGAACCATGTCAATTGTAAATTCCACTTGCTTATCTTGTGGAATGTTGAGTAGGTCTTCTAGAAATACTTCTGCAAAGTCTCGCACAATGTTAATATCTTTAATGGTTGTTTTTGTATGTTTGAAACTGTTGATATTAACTAAGAATCCCTGGCATGACTCCTTTCTCAACATCTTCTCCGCTTGTAAGGTCGACACAAGGTGATGTAGAGCCTTGGACTTTGCTCCAAAGAAACGAAACTCTTCCTCTCCCGGTTTATAAAATAACACTTCATTCTCATGATTGAGTTCCAACCAGTCCATGACTAAAATAACGTCAAAATCTTTCATCTCTAAAAGGTATAAGTCCGCCAGTAGTACATTTTCGTCAATCTCTAACTTCATAGCCCTAGTCATCTGATTTGTACAAAGAGTTCTCCCTGAAGGATGCTAACCTCTAATGCATTATCCGTTTTCATACGTGCAATATCAGACTTAGTGACGAATGATGTAGAGATAAAATAATTTGTAGCCCCAAAGTCAAAAAGTACATAAGCAGGTACATCAGATAATAGCAAAATACCTGTTTTTTTGTAATTATGATGTTAGACTCAGTTACGGGGAATGCAATATCAAGAAAATAAACAAGTACTTCAAATAAAAATAAAATACCTACTATCACATTCGGATCTTGCTGCCTCATGCTGATTTAATGCAAAAACTCGAGCCTTCCCTTTCTTATTATTGTCCTGATCATCATACTTCTTTTGCGGAGGCTCTGTATAGTGCAAAGCGATATGTCTCGGCTTACCACATCGAAAACATATGTTCTTCCTGAATAACCATTCATCCCCTATGAGGTTTATTACACTTAGGGCATGATGTAATACCTCCACTTAACCCATCGATACGAACTCTTGGGTTTGGCCTTTTATTCTACCAGTTATGTCTGTCCTTGCTCTGATCATTGCATTTTCTTTTTCCTAACAACTCCTTTCTCTGTTGGGCATACTGAAGTGAAACAATGCGACATAATGATCATGCCGATTTTCGGGAGTAGTCCATTTTCAAACCTCCTGATCTTCTTGACTTCTGTATCTACTAAGTGCGGGGCATATCTTGAAAGTTATTCAAATTGCTTCTCATAATCAGTGAGTGACATGTTTTCCTGTCTGAGTTGCGAAAACTCTGATTCCTTGAAATCTCTCAAAGCTTGTGGGAAGTACTTTACCATCACTTCTTTCTTAAATTGTTCCCATGTCAGGTTATGCTGTTGCTCTTCAGTCCTAGTGCGTGAGACAGATTCTCACTTGTGACCGGTTGCTTCAATCAACATGAATTCTGCGATAGTACCTTCTGTGCATCCGTGCAAGAAATATGTCTAAAAATGCACTCCAGACCCCTAATCCATTCCTCAATGGCCAGAGGGTCTGAATTTCCATCGGAAGTAGGAGACTTGTACCTACGAAACTGCTCGACCATGGAAACAGCTCCAAAGATAGATGGAGGTGTGTCCTGCTTTGGCGGCGCATTTTGTGGTGGAAGCGCTTGATTCTGTCTAGTCAACTTTTGCACCGCCTGCAACAAGTCAGGCATCAAATTTGTGTGGGTAGGTGATGTCATTTTCTAAATTTTTTTATATTAAGTTATTCGTCACACACCAATACTGAATCTAACATATCATACCTTTATATCATAAATTCAATGAGTCAGTAACCGGCGTGTCTCGAAATTTAGAAGTTTGCAATTCAAAATATTTAAGTTATGCAAAAGTTTAAACAAATTCATCTTCTTACTCTTTCTTACATACCTTAGAGTCGTCGAGGGTGATCATTGAGTGCCAAAGATCTTTCACATATTTAAGAACTTTAAAGTGACATCATACTTGAATTCATACATCTTCATAAAGATATCGATTTTTTTAATAAAAACATTTAATTCACCTGGAGGCTCAATAGGTCATAAATTTGAAATCACAATTCTATATGAGTAAAAGGATATATTTCTTGTATAAATCTACCCAAATATTTATTCCACAATAATTATGATTAAGACATATAATTTTAAGACCATGACTTTTCAAGAATTAAAATATAAGGCATAAATCTGTATAGACACGCCCTTATTCAATCATATAAGATAATATTAAATATATGCTATTTAATCACTAATTCCTTCACAATGCCTACTATACCTTCATGGAACTTTCATTTCATTTTA